GTAGTGCCCAGCAGTCTGGGTCCCTGGGCCGGAGCCACAAGAAGGCTCCAGCTGGGGGTAGTCTGTTTCTCCATGACTCCGCTAGCCTGTAGAGACTGAGTGCTGGCAAGGCAGATCCTGGCAGGCTCCTCTCCAGGCGTCCCCTTCAGCAGCCCTTTTTGCTTCCTTGCAGGGATCGACTACAAGACGACTACCATCCTGCTGGATGGCCGGCGGGTCAAGCTGGAGCTCTGGTGAGTCAGGCTGTGTGGGATTGCAGTGCCTGGGGGTGGGGGACAGCACTTCAGAGTTATAGCTGGAGCCTCAGAAGCTAAATGAATAAGTCAAGAATCCTTAAAGGAACAGGAAGGAAGGAGTCCTGTTAACACTGTAAGTGGAATAGCTGTTAAAGAGATCCTGTGTAAACATGAAGTGGATTCTGCTCTGTGATGTAAAAACCAAAAGGCCCAGGGCCGTTTGTTCTGATAGAGCCCAGCTTCCTTTACCCATAGTCATTTCCACAGTAGCCACAGCCCCCTTTGCTCCCTTTTACCAGGCTATACATTTTCCAGAGTCTTGAAGTTGAGATGTGAATTCCCATAGGTTTGGGATTCTTCAGCCTGGCAGGGTGGTCTCCTAGAGGCAGTGGTCGCGAACTGGTGGTCTGCGGACCACTGGTAGTCGTTGAGATCCGAAAGGTTGGTGACCGCTGGTTTAAGGAAACCTTTGGAGCAGCGGTCGCCAACCGGTGGTCCGCAGACCACTGGTGGTCTGTGAGGTCTGAAAGGTTGGCGACTGCTGCCCTAGAGCACTCAGGCCCCAGAGGTTGGCCAGTATAAGTTGTGGAGGGAGGGGGAGGGAGAGCACCTTGTAGGGATCACGCTGCACATGCCAGGTTCCACAGGATACATCCCACTGATTCCCCCTCTGTTTCAGGGACACGTCGGGCCAAGGCAGGTTCTGCACCATCTTCAGGTCCTACTCCAGAGGCGCACAGGTAAGACCAGCAATACTGCCGGTGGTGCTCTCCAGAGGGACAAGGCATATTTCTGTGCTGCCAGACCCCATGTGTGTGACTCTTAACAAGTTTTTATGTTGGGACATCAGGCTTCCACTAGGCTGCCCTCCGAGCGAGGGGCCTCAGCTGTCAGAGGGCACCAGGTCCCCACCCCCCACTCTGTGTTGTTACTCTGAGTTTCTACCGGCTCCTATGGTAGTGCTGGGACTCTGTTCTGTGGAGCCCACACTTAGTCACCTGGTTCACTAGGAACCAAAAGTGACTTCCCTGTCACCCAGGACCTCCACGTATGGAGCGAGGAGGCTGCTGGGGCAGCCAGGTCCACCACAGGGCTAGGGGCTCCCAGGGCGGGCTGGGCTGTTTTCCTAATCAGGACTGTGGGGACTGAGCTTTGGAGCCATTGTGGGAAGGGCTGCTCATAGAGACAGGGTATTAGCAAAGAGCAGGAGATGGGGCTATCCAGGGGCTGCCATGGAAGTATGCCTAAGTTTGGGTCAGTGTACAGAGGTGCAAGGGCACCCTGGGAGCTGTACAGAGGCATTCTGGGGGGCGGGATGTGGGGGTTTACTTATCCTCTGGTCTCCCTGAGCATGCTCCAAGGAGAGGGGAGAAGTAGTTGCAAGAACCGACCAATTATAGGCTGTGGCTGCTGTGTCAATGTGAGGAGTCTGATCAGTCCTGTCTGTAATTCAGAGCACCCCGGACTTCTGGAATTGCCAAGGAGACCCCCAAGTTTAGACCTGCTCTACACACCAGGCAAGGTCCTCCACTGGGACCAGCATTCCTGGGAGAGGAGGCACTTGGCCGTGTTTTGGGGCCTCTCATGGTGTGGGGCATGAACTCCAGGTGGGTCTGCACTCAGCAGAAGCAGGGGCTTCCTGTCACCCCCTCACTCTGGCTGGGACTCATGGGGAGCCCCATAGGATGTCCTTTTAGCTTTGTTTGTCAGAATTGATGAAGGCTGCAGCTACCTACCTTGGCACTCTGCACTCTTGATGATCTTGCTGCTGCATGAGACCTGAGGAGGCTGAGAGGGAGAGAAGTCTGTGGCAGGGGTCGGGCTGAATCTGCTTACGTGTTGTTACGGACCCCCCGACCTGTGCCTTCCTCCAGGGCCTTCCTCAATAGGGGCCTTTTAGACATGGTGGGAGGCAGGGAGATACTGGATGTGGCCTTCTCTCCTCAACGGGGGTGCCGAGGACTCCCAGCCTGGGCTTGGCAGCACTTGTCCTAGGAGCATCTGCAGAGGTGTGGGTGATAGCACCTGGAGCCTTAGCTTGATAGTCCCCCAGCGTGTGTGGTGTTGGGAGCCTATAAAGGTGGTGCTTCATCTAGCAGTTCCACCTGGAGCAGCTAATCCTAAATAATCGAGGTGTGGATCATAGCTTGGGGACGTTTGTCAGCACCAGAGATGAGGTTGAATAGCTAGAACTGCCTGCAGAACCCATGGGTCCCTTTCTTTTTTTTTTTTTTTTTGGAGGCCCCGCTGGGATTCGAACCCTGGAGGCACCGCTGGGATGCGAACCCCTTTCTTTTTTTTAAGAAGTGACTGCGTATGTAATTTTACACTTACAAGGAGTGAGAAAGCTGTGTTCCAAAGGTGCTGTTATCCTGAATGACGGAGTGGCTGAGTTCTGTTGTCTTCCTTATGCTTTTGAATGTCTCCTAATGGTCTACAATAAACACATACTACTTTTGAACTAAAAAGGAAAGTGAAAAGATAAGGGGGTAGTTCTTGGGTTGTGATAATGAAGGGCAATTGGAGCCGGGGCCGGTTTGGCTCAGTGGATGGAGTGTCGGCCTGCGGACTGAGGGGTCCCGGGTTCGGTTCCGGTCGGGGGCGTGTGCCTGGGTTGCGGGCACATCTCCAGTGGGAGATGGGAGATGTGCAGGGGGCGGCTGTTTCTCTCTCATCGATGTTTCTAACTATCTCTCTCCCTTCCTCTCTGTAAAAAATCAATAAAATATTAAA